CATGCCCCTCTCTCCGAAGATTTTCAGGACAGCGTGGAGCCTGCACCAGGACAGGCCAGGGAGGGTTCTCCCGTGACAGCCCCACAGAAGATCCTGCAGCTGCTTCCTGTAGCAGGACACCCAGAGCTCCCAGGCTTGGCCTGCCAAACCCTCGTGCCATTCTTTTGCAGTGACGACCAAGAACAGAGAGATAAACATCATCATCATCTGAGAGCTGGTCAAGAAATTTAAAACAACAACAAAAAGTGATGGGAGTTAATCACAGTTCATCTACTTCATTGGAATGTTAGACCTCATGTTTATTTGTGTTTCTAATTTACAGTTTAAAATTTATTTATAAAAAAGAAGTTAAGGAGTGTGGGTCTTTCCCTGATGTTCACTCTGGCATCCTTTAGCATTTTGTTTTAATTGATAGTTTTAGGTCATGAAATTATATCAGTTTGCCCTTACATGTTTGAGTTCAAAACACACAAAGACCCACTATTTACAAAACTATTCTTACTGGTTGAATAGGCTACCTGATTTTTTAAATGTTATTGCAGCATGTATATTCATTACAGAATTCAGATAAAATTGGCTTATGTTCTGCTATTATGTTTGATTGATTCCTAATCACAGTGAAGCTCTCCATTAGCTCAATATGTGGTTTTGCCCTCAGAAGTCTTAGCACTGTTTCTGTGTAATATGCCACTGTGATGCCGACATTTAGAGCTGTTTAAAGGCCGAGAGCTGACAGCTTTTCCTCTATTTTCTGTGTACTGGGGATGGGAGTAGTAACATTTGGGAGGCTTTTAAATCTCACGGAAGAGGAAAGTGGCCTGCTCTGGCAGGTGTGTGTGCAGGATAGGTGTGTTTCATTTGTTCTGGTGCCAGGAATGAAAGCGCCGTACTGTGAAGTAGTTCCGCCAAGTTCATAGTGCTCTGGGCTCCTTGAAGATATTGCAGCCTGAGCTGCAGCAGTTGGACTCTTTCTCAGCCCGACTAAAGGGATTCTTTCTGAGAATGAAAGGCTCCCATCATTGACTGTGAGATCACGGAAAACCTTTTTCTAGCTTAGAGCATTTATATCACCACAATGCATTTTAAGTCAGAGTTCATGTTACCTGTTTTAATCCACATGACTACATGTCCCAGTACACAAAGGAGCACTGTAGTATTCTTCTTAGTGTATTTAGTAGAAGATCATAAAAACCCTTTCCAGAGTTTAAATATCCCTGGAACAGGCATACAGGCCTAGCAGTCAAGAATGAATTTGAGTGAAGGAAAGCTGTGTGACACCTGGCATTCCTCTATGTTCATGGAACTTCTTTGGGGCCTAGAAGACTGATTTTACCATCTAGACCTCTCTATTTAATACCTATTCTTCAGCCACATTGGTTAATCTGACATACGAATTTACTTCTTTTCCTTGAATGGAAAACACTTTCAAAAATATTAACAACTATTTAATAAACTAGCCATGTAAGTGTTCGTTGAAACAAAAAGCAGTTTTAGTGGACAGTGTTACTACATTTGAAATCAAGGAGAAGTTTAGTACAACTTAAAATATTTACAAACTGCAGTGCAATCTACTGTTGTGAATGTCAAAGTATTATGAGTAAAAGTATCTAGACAATCACAGAGTTATATTTCCTCACAAAGTTCTTTACAAAGAGTGAAATATGTTTTTATACCTCTCGGTTTCAGTAGTTGAAATGTTTTGTGCCATATTTATGTTATGTGCCTATAGAGAATGAATGAATTATTTCAGTCATAGGTTGCCTAAATCATAACTTCATGATGCTTGGGAAAGAATCAACAGTTAAAAAGTTCATGAAGTTCTAATATCTGTGTTTAAAATACATCACAGTATTAGAATGTAAGAGAGAAGATGTATACTCGCTCCCTGGGGTGTGCAATTCTAGTTACTAGACCATCTCCATTTTAGCATTTGGCAGCATCCTGTGATACTTTTATAAACATGGCATTAATAGAGAGGAGAAACAATAATATCATTTACAGATGAAATAACAGATTTGCCTGCATTCACTGAAAAAGTACCAATATTGGTCCTTCAAGCAGCTCTTCAGGTGTATGAATTTATCAAAGTGATGGATAAACCCAGTTTCCGAATAAAGAAGAAAAAACTGTTAGACCAAATAGTGTGGCTAACTAACAGTGATAGTTCTAAATACGCTCTTTGTGTAGGGATTTTGTCCTATGTTTCAGAAAAGCTAAAAAAGAATGGAAATCCTATGACAATACTTAAGTGTTTCTTCAGAAGCATGCAGTCTTTACCTGTCCTCATTCAGCCAAGTATTTGTTCTCTTCCTCATTCGGTATAAGGCAGCTTTCAATTTGCTTAGAAATAACATTAGAAGGTTAGAGATCATCGAAATATAAAAAAATTTGAAAATGTGGTTCAACTGGGCAATTTGAATTTCTGTTAGAAGAATCAAAATACCTGTTTACAGATTGCAATATATGGTCATTATTTTTAAAGTTTTTGATTAAACCTGATAGGTTTTCCAGAAATGAAAAAAAAAATCAGTTCTAAAACCAAAGCTGATATTTAGAAAATGTGAAAATGTACATCAGCCCTATCCATAATATAGTTTCTCTAAAACTTTATCTCTACAGAAGTCACTTCAAAATATTATAACTATTCAAAAATGCTAACTGCTATCTTAATGTTTTGAAATAATAAGTTAAAGCATGTTCAAAATGTGAACATTGTGAACAATGAAAGAACCTGGGAAGAGAAGAGTAGAGAAAGAAATGCCAGTTAATGCTGACTTTATTTGCAGTTTTCTTAGAATGACTTTTACCAATTTATGAATTCCTGTCAACAGAATGTATAATGGAAGTACTGAAAGACTGTTTATCTAAAAGTACCATTATTGACGCTGCTACTGTGATGCTACTGCAATGCAATAAGTTAGAGAAATTATTTGCAAAGTGCTGTTTTGCGTAAATTTAATTATGCCTTACGAAACTATGGTGTTAAAGGTATTGAGACTGTGCAAATGCTGAGCCAGCAGCATGAATCATCGGATTTTATTTTTACAAAATTGTATATGCAAGTGTGTTTTATTAGAAGAACACAAACCAGTTCTGGGGATAAAAAGTTGTGGATGAAAAAGTTATGGGATAAACAATGTTGTGGAAAAGTTGTGGCAAAAAAAAAGTGTTGTGACTTTTACCAATTTATGAATTCCTGTCAACAGAATGTATAATGGAAATACTGAAAGACTGTCGTCTAAAGTGCCATTATTGACTGCTACTGTGATGCTACTGTAATGTAATAAATTAGGAAATTGTTGCAAAGTGCTGTTTTTGCCTTCAAATTTTGTGTGTCTTGAAAACTATGTTGTTAAAAGTATTGAGTGTGCAAATCCTGGGCACGCTTGGCATGAGATCATCGGATTTTAGTTTTACAAAATTGTAGCTATGCAAGTGTGTTTATTGAAAGGACACAAACTAAAAAGAAGTTATGGGAATTTTAAAAGTGGGATGAGAAAGTTATTGGGATGAAAAATGTAGAAAAGTTGTGGCAAAAGAAGTTGTGGACAAAAGTAGAAAAATGTTTTATGAAACATGTTTTAAAAAGTTATGACAAGGAAGTCATGGAATTTTTTTAAAAAAGTCATGGGAGAAAAATAAAAGCAGGCCCCTGTCAGCATAACCCTAGAGAAGTGGGGCTGGAGTCTCTGCCCCCACCATGTACTAACCACCCCTTCTCAGTCACCCCTTTACCATTAGGGTAACAAGACAAGACCCCATCTAATGGAGGGTGACAGACCCTTTGCCACCTTGACCAGGGCTGAGTCCTTAAATTTCTGGATGGTGATGTTTGTTATTTAAGAGCCAGAGGCTGGTGGAATTGGTTTGTTTGGAGGAGGCCTCATGGCCTCTCTACTCTCACCAAAGCAACTTTTCCCTCAGGGGGCTCCCATCTTCTTATTCAGAGAGGCAACTGAGGCAGGACAATAGGGCTAAGTGTAGAGCAGGCGAGGGCACGGGCTGCTGGGGTGGCTCCCCTTCCCCAGTGTACCTATAGTATCTGTGTAACATTTTGTATATTCTGGGGGGTAGGACCACCCCCTGTATCATACGTAGCAGAGGCTGGAGCTGGCATATGGGGAGGAGATTCTAATTGTTATTTACAGTTGGGAAACTTATTTATTGATACCATAGGACAGAGGAAGGAGGTGGGGATGGGGTCCTGCCTTCCTTGGTGATGCAACTTCTGTTTATTTTGCTTTTCATTTTGGAATAAATGGATTTAGCCATACTACACAGCCTGGTGGGTTCCCGTTTCCCTCACTGGGTCCTGGAGTTTGTGTCACTGAACGAGGAGCCCCAGAGTGTCTGAGCATGTCCAGCTCAGCTGTTGGGGACCTTCCAGGCCTGTTAACTGTATGCTGTCTGGTGACACCTGGTGAATTTCATGGGGCCTGCTATGGCGCCTAGCCCTGACAGCCAACAGGCTTAGAAGCCTAATCTAGCGGTGGCCAGGAAGACAGACACCAGCACCCAAGGCCACTGACTTCCATCCACCCCAGGCGTCTTCCGTTCCATCCCCTTGCCTCCCTCTCCTGTCTGCACCCGGTGGCCTGTTCTGTCTGTCCCTCCAGAGTGCTGGCTGTCCCACAGGCTCCTCCAGGCTGAGTTCATGGCCCTGCCCCCTAGTGGCCAGAGCCTGCTTCACGGGATAAGAGCCAGCTAAGCTCCAGGGGCTTTCCAGGAAAAGTGTCCCTTGGAAAGGCCTTTTCACTACTCCCAATAGCACCCTAGAAATGACTTGGCCTTTTCCCTCCCCTGAACTCCACAGAGAACACAGCCAGCAGAGGACACATTCCCCGCCACCCAGAAATGGGTTTGATTCTCAGCTGAGGGATGGCAGGACTGGTAGAGACTGTCAGGCCACACGGCTGCCTGCACAGCACCCCCATGCTTGCTCATATATATATATGAGTATTTATAGCTATTTATAGAACAGGGCAGGGCGTACCACAGAGTATTTATAGCTATTTATAGAACAGGGCAGGGCGTACCACAGAGTATTTATAGCTATTTATAGAACAGGGCAGGGCATACCACAGAAGGGGCACAAATTTTCAGCAACGGTCACACCTGGATGTGTCAACTCAGCACTACAACAGACTAAATCACAGATGAAGGGGGCTGGCTTTGGGGCTGCGGAGCCACTGTCAAGTCACAGGAGACCCACCAGCAGGCCTGGAAAGGGAGGCCTCCGAGAAGAGGAGGATCTGTTTAGAGGTCAAAGTGTGGCTGGGGCTCTCAGGATGGGGTGGACTTGCCTGACCCAATCAGCTGGCAGTTGGAGAGAAGTAGAGCAAAAAGAGGAGAGAGAAAAGCAAGCAGAGAGCTGGTGAGGCAAGCACAGAGCACTGGCGCACCACAGGAGCTGTGGGAGGGCCAGGGAGGGGAGGGCACAGGTGCGGGTGTGGCAAAGGTTCCTGGAAAAGGGGCTGGAAGGGAAAGGGGAGGAAGATGGAGGGAGGAGCCAGAGCTTCACAGGTGGTGCCTGGGGGATGTGGTGGCCCTCCCCAGCCCACACATGCTGGCCTCACCCATGGCACCCAGGCAGTGCACCCACAGTTCAGACCAATGCTCAACCCCCTCGGGCTTCCCCCTTCTCTGGTCACCCTGTCTTCCAACCCACTGGCCCAGGGGCACCTCTTGTTTGGGGAGCCCCACCCAACTGCCACCTGGCCTGATAAGGAACACTGCTTGAACCAAAGTGGTGAAGCTATAAGGGATGGATGGCTGGAGTGAGTGCCAGAGGCCCCTCTGGGTGGTCAGAAAGACCAGGGTCCTCTGAAGGGACCCTGGGGAAGGCAGGGAGGGCAGGTAGCTGGATGCCACTGGCCATAGACTTATAAGTCTAAGACGGGAGCCTCAACTGGTTGCGGGGCGGGGGGGCTGCAGGTTTCATAGGTGAGGCTGGGCCCTTCCTGCTGGGAAAAGCAGAAGAGGGAAAGTCTATGGCAGGAGAGGCAGGTGGGCTCGCTAGGCAGAGCTCAGCTGGGCCAACAGGCACTGTGGTCCCGTTGGCTGAATAGCACAGGTGACCCCTAGGAGCAACTGGCCAAGGTGTGTGAGCCTGCTGGCCTGTGGTAATGCTTCAGCGGGGGCCAGGGACCCTGCCTTTGGTCACACACTAGCAGCTATGATGGTACCTGGGAGGATGGGAAGTGGGCTGTGTGTCCCTGCCTGGCCTGTGAGGTGTGTTGTGGGATGACCATGTGTATGGGACTTTAAGGTTTTATCCTAGATCATCACTGGATTGCCGACAGATAGAGGAGGTGGGACCCTGACTATCACCCCTGCTCTGCAGTGGATTCGGCTCTCGGCACTCCCAGGCTGGGAGCTGGATGCCCTGCCCTGGCAGCATGACTCAGACTGCACAACCGGTATGGAGTGCCCAGGATGACGTTCCTAGACCTCTGGCCTCCTCAGAGTCCAGCCCCACACAATGCCCTCCAAGCTCCCAGCCCCTATACCATAAACCATGAGCTCTATGCCCTCTCTGATGGCTCCAGAGAGCACCCATGTCTGCCAGCTTGGGCATGGAGCCTGTTCCAAGAGCACCCAGGCTCAGCCATGGAGGCCATGGGCAGTGGTGCTGAGTCCCACGGCTCACACGGAAGGGAGGTGACAGAGCCACAGCACGAGGACAGAAAGAGGAAAGAGCAAATCTGCAGCTCCAGAAAGGAGGGGCAGGGAGCCTGGATCTGAGGTCCCAGGTGTGCCCCCGTGTGGAGCTGGTGCAGTGGGGCGGGAACACCATTCATGCAGCAGGCGGCGAGGCACGTACCTACCATGGCTGATGCTCCTCAGGGGCCACTGATAGTGATTCTGAGAGACAGCATCAAATCAACATGGCAGCTCACATGCATGGGTGGGGCAGGTCTGGGGTTGGGGGACACACACACGCACATGCTGGGGTGCGCACACACATGCTGTGAGGCCCCACTGTTGGCATGCACACGCTAACACACATGCCCACAACACGCATACGCCTCCTTCCCTGCCACCTCCCAGTGCCCAGCACCCTCACTGGCTGGCACGTGCAGCACAGATCTGGGGCGTGCAGCCACTCAGCACACTGAAGCACACACATGGGCAGAGTCACAACACAGAAGCTCACCCACACAGAGGCATTTGCACCAGCTCCCTGCACACTCATGCTGGCATGCTCAGAGGACCATCCATGCTGCTCGTGGAGACAGCGCTTGCTCGCTAATGTTCAGCTGCCATTTCTCTACCTAAGAGCCTTCCATGGCTCCCTACTGCCTAGAGCATTGAGCCCCAACAAGTCATACTCTTCGGACTTTGAAGTTCTCCACCCTATGCCCCACCCTCCCCACAGAGCTCTTTCTCATTCTGTCTCTGTTCCCCACTTTGGCCAGTGGCTGTCCTCAGTGAGTCCCACACTAAACCTCTGCCCACACTGCAGCTCTTTACCCAGATACCCTCCAATTCCTCGTCACATAAGCCTATCTCAGTCATACCCTGGACTCCATTGAAGCCAGGCTGCCTTGAAGAAGCTCTCCCAGACTGCCCTTTTCCCCAAGGCAGGGTCATGACTTGCCAAATGTTTTGCTTGCGTTAGTAAGACTAGAGTTGGAGCAGGCATCAAACCTTACATCCCATATGTCACACCTCACCACAGACCTGGGTGCCAAATACCCTGAAGAGTCTCAACTCACGTTGGTAGTTAGCAAAGTGCTTCTATGGCCACATCTACAGTTAACACAGCATCCCTATGACCACTGTCTCCCTTAATCCCCACAGCCACCCTGGGAGAAAGGCAGAAAGAAATCATTTGATAGAAAGGATGCTGAGGCTCTGGGAGGGAAAGGGACTTGCCTGAAGTCCCACGGTGAAGCAGCATCTCTGGACTCCCAGTCTTGCCCAATACCATGCTGCTTGCCTCTACCCATCTCCGTTGGTCATCAGCACATCCTAGGGCAAGCCCCAATCCTTGCGTCATTTTGGTTTATGGGTGCTGGACCCACAGCCCCACTCTCCAGCCATTTGGAAACAAAAACAGATACTATTGTTCTTCCTTAGAGAACGTGGCCAGTGGAAACAGGGCACACTGGGAATCAGAGTGAATGTCCTTGAAAGAGGGCCATGGGTCAACAAGTCCAAGCCAGAGGATGTAGAATGCTTTTCCTTAGAAATCTTTGGGAATGAAGTGGGCTTCAGACACTCCCATCCCTTCCCCGGCAGCCACCCTTACCACATTGGTTTAGACTGGGTAAGGTGGCGGGGCGGGGGAGGTGGATAAAAAATCAGATTGCTCATGGCCCCCAGGCTCCTTCCCCAGCTGCTTCTGTCCTAGCCCAGGCTTGGTGCCATTCTCACATTCTCACACTCATGTGATGTGTCACACACATCACAAACCTTGATGGTCACACAGTCACAGCCTGGTCTGTGCTCCTGCGGTCCAGTGGCTGGACACCCCCTGGGATGGCTCAAAGGAGTCAGGACTTGGAAGTGGGGACATCAGGGTAGCTGAAGGAAATCCACACACCCAGCGTATCTCAGGGTTCAGACCTGAGGTAGGCACCCCAGGGGCTGGGAGAGGAGTTGGAGGGAATGGAGGATGGAGGACAGTGAGAAGGAGGAGGAATGCAATGTGTGGGGCGGCCGCCAAGAGTGAAAATAGAGGGAAGCGCCATGTAAGTGCTGGAAAGAAGGGGGCAGGTGGGACGAGCCCCATAGCCCCCTCCCCAAAAACGACCACCTCCGGGACTCAGCACTCCCTGGGGGGCAGGCTCCACCACACGCGGCTCCGGCATCCAGGGTCCCAGTGCCTTGGAAGGAGAGGGCCGGTTCTGGCAGCCAGGCCCCGTGCTCTGGAATCCAGTCCCATGTCGGGGGGACACCTGACCCCTTCCCTGCCCAGTTCAGTGTTGTGGGACAGGGCTGCTGTCAAGACAATCCCCAGTCCTGCCCTCCTCCCCGAGCGGGCCAGTTAGCCCATGTAGCTTCTTCCCCACTTGCCTGTGTGGCACTGCCAGCCTGGTAGCCTGGTGCCCATTCAGTCTAGTCCTTCATACTGCTGGGGCAAGGGGAAGCTCTGAGTAATGTGGGACTATAGAGTGCGCGAGGGTTGCTGATGGCCGGGTCCCGTGCCCTCCCCATTCCTGTGCATTCTTGACAAAGTCTCCCAGCAACCGAGGGTACACAGCAGCTGTAGACACCAGCCTGATGAATATCTCATCGTGGGGAGGGGGCCATAGCAGGAGTGGGGCTCCAGGGAAATACAGAACCTGGCCTGGGAGGTGTTGATGTGAGAGGCCCAAGAAACCTCGGCTTTGCACTTGCTGAATACCATCTGCGCCTCTCAGGAGGGAGAGTGCCAGGCTCAGGAGGTCCCTGCCCAAGCAAGGGGACTTGGAAAGGGGGCTAGGGGTGGGCTGTGCCATTTTCAAGGGCTGGCGGGGGGACCAGCCAGCCAGACCCCTCTGGAGGTACTTGGGGCAGTACAGCATGCCATGGCTCCTGAGTGACAGAGTCAGCTCTGCGCCCCACAAGACCACTCCCTACCCAGAACTCACTGTGATCATATGCTGGGTCCAGATGCCCATGCAGCCTCCTGGCGGGAGCATCAGTTGCACCACCTGCCCAGGATGGCCCACGGAAGAGTCTGCGCTACTCTGCCCTGCTATGGAACAACCCCTGTTCTGCCTTCGGGAAGAGGTGTTCGTTTAAGCGATGACTGGCCCGGCCCCCATGGCACAGTGATCACAGATAGTCTGCTGCTACCCATGGCTGAGAGCTCTAGTTCTTCCTAGTGGTCTCTGAAGCCACCAGGACGGATGAACCATGGCTTCACCCTCTTGGCCGACTCAGCTGCCTTTCATCAGCTCATCTGCCCCTAGGATCCACTCTGCCTCTGGCTGGCACCTGACCTGAGCCCCAGGCTCACGCCTCTGCCCACAGGCCCAGCAGCTGCTTCACCTCCAACTCCAACCCTCTGGACCAAGCGCTGCCCCTCGCCAGCTACTGGGGTGCCACTAGTGCCCCCACATGGTGCCCCCTCTCCAGACCCTTGGGTCTGGCTGTAGCTTCCTTCTGGAAGCCACACCCCAAGACCCCAGCCCTGCTCTAGGGCCCTGTATCCCCAACTTCCTGCATCCTTCTTTCTCCTTCTGGGAACATGAACTTGCTCTGCCAGCCTGGTGGCTCCTGGAGGGCAGGACACCAGGGCCTGGACCATGGCAGGACCGGGAGCGTCTGCTGCCAGCGATGCTGGAACCTGCACCCACGTCCACATGATGTCCATGGCACAGTGGCCACCTGAGGCTGTGGGCATCTGAGTGGTGGCTGCAGAGTGAGGCCCTTACCTCCTGCCTGAGTGAAGTTCACCATGTCCTCCCCTATGCTGTCCTGCTGGACATGGAACAGCCGGCCCGGCTGGGGGCCCAGGACCACACCGTAGAGCAGAAGCTGGGGGTTGGTGCCTGCACTGGAGCTGCCTCTGAGGCTCTGGCTGCTGAATGGCTGAATGGCTGGATGGTCCCTGCCAGAGGCAAAAGGGGCCACCATCCTTTGAAATCCAGGCACAGGCCTGTCTCTGCAGAGAGGCAGCGTGACCCTGGCGTGCCACCCTCAGCTCTGCCCCAGCTCCTGGCACACCCCGGAATGCCCACAATCAGCACACCCATCCGGGCAGACAGTCAGCGTCTGGCTGCCCTCCAGCGAGAGGAGCACTTGCTTCTGGGCCGCCACTCGGAAGAAGTGTCTGGAGGAAGTGTGCTTGTCATCAGAGAAGCTGAAGTGGATGCCTCCGTCCAGGGCTCCTGAAGACAGAGTCATTGGGTCCGGCCGGCCCGAGCTGGCTCCTCATCTCAGGGCACCCCTGCAGGCAGCAGGAACCCAGGGCCTGGCCATCAGCACCCACCTCTGTGTGAGAACAGCACGAGCCCACCGCCCAGCTGAGCCTGCACGAAGCTGCGCACCTCGGTGCCCAGCGCTGCCCACAGCACTATCCGCCCTTTGCTGGGCTGCTCAATGGCGTAAACCAGATGCTCAGGGGCCCAGAGTAACTGTCCATGCTCCTCAGGGCCTCTGTAGGGATGGGCGCAGTGGCCCCCTCCCACATCTGGGAACACAGGCCTGTGAAGGTTCTGCCTTGCCCTGCTCACCCACCCCTTCCTCCCCAGCCCTGGGCTGCCACCAGGGTTCCAATCCTGCTGCGGCTCAGGCCTTCAGGTGGCATCAATGCTGGCCCTGCTCTGGCTCCCCTGCACAAAGGGCCCTCCCCACATTCACCTTCCCTGTCACCCCAGGGAAGGCCCCAGGGAAGGTCACCCTCCAGGCCCAGCCTCCTTGCTCTCCATCTGCCCTAGTCCTGCGTGTCCCTCAAGGCCAGCTTGTGTCCCCTACCCAGGAAGGCCCCTGTTCTTACCCTCACCAAGTTCTCACCTCCAGAAACCCCCAGCGCTGACCAACAGTGCTCCTTAATCTGTCTCACTGGTGGGGCAGGGGTCTCCTTTCAGAGCCTCCGTGTGTGCCTGGCCAGGGCCGGGCACAGGTGGGAATGGTGATTTTAGAAACGGGCCCTCCTTCCAGCTGAGGGAGGGGTGGTGGTGCGGAGAGTGGGGGGCTGATGGTTGGCATGTTCTGCAGCACAGAATCAGCGCTGCGATGGGCCAAGGTGCTTCCAGAGCAGTTACGGGCCCTCCTCATGTTGGGCGAAGGGGACCCCTTTTCAGGCCTCCCACTTGCAAGCAGAGCAGGCGCCTGTTCCTGAGGTCCTGGTACCAGTCTTGCTGGGTCAATTACTTGTGGGCAGAGGTGCAGTGGGACTCACATGCCCGGGAAACAGAGCTTTCTGGCATTCCTGGGCTTCCTTCCCTGGCCCCAGGGAGCCCTCAGGCTGAGTCTTGGCAGAAGGGGCCATAATGTGGGGGACAGGGCCCCATTGCTGGGCTCCCAGACCAAACACGGGTGGATGGCACCACCTGGTGGTCATACTGACACACAGCTGTCCTGGCTTGTGGTTCCAGGGGGCCGTGGCCTCTGCACCATGAGGTCATCCTCTATGGGCACATCCTAGACCACCAAAGCCCCCCTCAGTGCCCCATGTCAGAGGCAGCCCAAGACAGCTCTCCTGTGGAACCTTCAGGGACTCTTGCTGACCCAGGAGGACGCACCCCAGAAGCCGGCATTCAAAGTCCTGCCATGTGGGCTTAGTGAAGCCATGCCCTTTCTGTTCTACCAGAACTACTTTCACAAGCATGGAGAAGTTCCACCCCATGTCTGGGCCTCAACTTCCACCTCTGCCAAAAGGGGGTCCTGCTCTGCTGTGGCACAAGGGGGAGGAGTCTGGGGAGCCAAGCCACGGCCTTTACTTGCTGGGGTGAAGGTGGGAATCTTATTGGCTCCTGCCCTTAAACCTGCCCTTATGGGCTTGTAAGTGATTCTGTCGGGTGTTCTGGTCCTGAGCCACAGGAGAAGGAACAGCAGAGCCACCTGTGGCCGCTCAGAAGTCTGCCTACCTTACTTGCAAGTATCCATAACAAAACCTCCCACCTGTGTTCTATTTCAGCACAATCTCACAACTCTCCTTCCAACAACCCTGTGAGGCATGCGGCAGCGTCCCCATTTTGCAGAGGAGGTAACTGAGGCTCAAAGACGGGGAGCTCTGTGCTGGGAAGTAGGGGACGCTGGCCTCTTTCTCGAAGCAGACATGGGGGATGGTGCCAGGAATACTCTCACCTGCAGGCCTGTGTTTGTAGTGAGGACGGGGGGGTTGGTCATTGACAGGCAGGACGGTGACAGTGAAGGCCACAGGATGGCTCTGGCAGCCCATCTTGGAGGTGTCAGTCATCAGGACAAAACTGCCTGTCAGTGTCTCGCTCCCGTCGTGCACGTAGCGGATCAGCTGCTCTTCCACTGACGGGCAGGCCCAGGGCTAGTCAGGCCCCAGCAGCACCCTTCATGTCCTGCCTTTGGGTGCAGGAGGAGACTGACTCTTTTAGGGCTTCAGCTTCCATTGGTGGAAAATGGGGACCATAAGTTCTGGCTCCCAGAGGAGCTGTGAGGAAGAAAGGGGATACAGTATTTAAAGCACAGGTGCTTCTGATATGTGACTCCCCATCTCCTCTCTGTGTATAACCCCCACACTGGGAGTACCCAGGGTTCCCTCCATTCTGCCCCCAGAGCTGGGCTGCAGCCCCTGGGCCTCTCTCACAGCCATACCTCTCTCCAGGAGAAGGCGCTGAGGGTCCTGGCTTGAGGTCCGTCCTCCTTCTGCAGAGCCCCATGCCGGGGTGGCTCCAGCACCTGCAGGCCAAGGCCCGGGAGAGTGGGGAAGTAGGGCCCGGTGACACGGAGCAGTGGAGGGGCCAGGGTGAGGCTGCCACCCTCAGGGACGCTGAAGTTTTGCGCATCCAGTGGGATGGCAGCGGGTAGCACCTCCAGCTCCACGCGGACACCCTCGAGGGGAGCACCCAGGCCCGAGGGCACATCCAGTGAGAAGGCATCGCTCCAGGCCTCAGGGCGGGAGTGCAGGTACAGGACTCTGCCCGTGTCCACTGCCTCCTGGGAGAAGCTCTGCACGGGGTCCAGGCTGGGTGGCTCATCTGCCAAGACGCCACGAGACACCATCACCAGGCAGCCGGCACTCGGTGGCTTCTTCACTGAGAATACGATGTCTGCCGGTGGCACTGCCTCCTGGGCTGCCTGGTTAACAGAGGTAACTGGACTTGGGCGACCTGGGGGCTAAGGGTATGCCTGGACTTGGAGATCATCACACCTGAGGCAAGTTCTGGCTTGCTCATTTCCCAGCTGTGTGATTCTGGGCAAATCCCTTCCTTTCAGCCTCAGTTCCCTTATTGGGAAGATGGGTTAATAATAATTCCTGCCTTGTTATGGTTTGGCTGTATCCCCATCCAAATCTCAACTTGAATTGTATCTCCCAGAATTCCCACGTGTTGTGGAAGGGACCCAGGGAGAAGTAATTGAATCAGGGGGGCTGGTCTTTCCTGTGCTAGTCTCATGATAGTGAATAAGTCTCATGAAATATGATGGGTTTATCAAGGGTTTCTCCTTTTGCTTCTCTCATTTTCTTCTGCTGCTGCCAATGTAAGAAGTTCCTTTCGCCTCTTGCCGTGATTCTGAGGCCTCCCCAGCAATGTGGAACTGTAAGTCCAATTAAACCTCTTTTTCTTCTCAGTCTCGGGTATGCTTTTATCAGAAGTGTGAAAATGAACTAATACAGTAAATTGGTACCAGTAGAGTGGGGCATTGCTGAAAAGATACCTGAAAATGTGAAAGTGGCTTTGGAACTAGGTAACAGGCAAAGGTTGGAACAATTTGGAGGGCTCGGAGGAAGACAGAAAAATGTGGGAAAGTTTGGAACTTCCTAGAGACTTGTTGAATGGCTTTGGCGCAAATGCTGATAGTGATACGGACAATAAAATCCAGGCTAAGGTGGTCTGAGATGGAGACAGGGAACTTGTTCGGAAGTGGAGCAAAGGTGACTCTTGTTATGTTTTAGTAAAGAGACTGGTGGCATTTTGCCCCTACCCTAGAGATTTGTGGAACTTTGAACTTGAGAGATAAGATATAGGGTATCTGGTCGAAGAAATTTCTAAGTAGCAATGCATTCAAGAGGTGACTTGGGTACTATTAAAGGCACTCAGTTTTATAAGGGAAGTGAGCATAAGTTTGGAAAACTTGCAGCCTGACTATGTGATAGAAAAGAAAAACCCATTTTCTGGGGAGAAATTCAAGTCAGCTGCAGAAATTTGTGTGAGTAGCAAGGAGCCTAATGCTAATCCCCAAGACCATGGGGAAAATGTCTCCAGGCCATGTCAGAGGCCTTCACAGCAGACCCTCCCATCACAGGCCTGGAGGCCCAGGAGGAAAAAGTGGTTTTGTGGGCCAGGGCCAGGGACCCCTGTGCTGTGTGCAGCCTAGGGTCTCAGTGCCCTATGTCCCAGCCACTTAGCCGTGGCTGAAAGGGGCCAACATACAGCTCAGGCTGTGACTTCAGAGGGTGGAAGCCCCAAGATTTGGCAACTTCCATGTAGTGTTGAGCCTGTGAGTGCATAGAAGTCTAGAATTAAGGTTTGGGAACCTCCACCTAGATTTCAGAGGATGTATGGAAATGCCTGGATGCCCAGGCAGAAGTTTGCTGCCGGGGCCCTCATGGAGAACCTCTGCTAGGGCAGTGCAGAAGGGAAATGTGGGGTCAGAGCCCACCCCACAGAGCCCCTCCTGGGGCACTGCCTAGTGGAGCTGTGAGGAGCAAAACTGTCCTCCAGACCCCAGAATGGTAGATCCACTGACAGCTTGCACCATGTGCCTGGAAAAGCTGCAGACACTCAATGCCAGCTCATGAAAGCAGCCGGGAGGAAGGCTGTACCCTGCAAAGCCACAGGGGTGGAGCTGCCCAAGACCATGGGAACCCAACTCTTGCATCAGTGTGACCTGGATGCGAGACACGGAGTCAAAGAAGATCATTTTGGAGCTTAAAATTTGACTGTCCCGGCCGGGTGCGGTGGCTCAAGCCTGTAATCCCAGCACTTTGGGAGGCCGAGACGGGTGGATCACGAGGTCAGGAGATCGAGACCATCCTGGCTAACCCGGTGAAACCCCGTCTCTACTAAAAAGACAAAAAACTAGCCGGGCGAGGTGGCGGGCGCCTGTAGTCCCAGCTACTCAGGAGGCTGAGGCAGGAGAATGGCGTGAACCCAGGAGGCAGAGCTTGCAGTGAGCTGAGATCCGGCCACTGCACTCCAGCCTGGGTGACAGAGCCAGACTCCGTCTAAAAAAAAAAAAAAATTTGACTGTCCCACTGGATTTCGGACTTGCATGGGCCTTGTAACCTCTTTGTTTTGGTCAATTTCTCCCATTTGGAACAGCTGTATTTACCCAATACCTGTACCCTCATTGTATCTAGGAAGTAACTAGTTTGTTTTTTATTTTACAGGCTCGTAGGTGAAAGAGACTTCCTTTGTTTCAGATGAGACTTTGGACTGTGGCCTTTTTGGGTTAATGCTGAAATGAGTTAAGATTTTGGGAGACTGTTGGGAAGGCATGATTGGTTTTGAAATATGAAGAAATGAGATTTGGAGGGGCCAGGGGTGGAATGATGTGGTTTGGCTGTGTCCCCACCCAAATCTCAACTTGAATGGTATCTCCCAGAATTCCATGTTATGGGAGGGACCCAGGAAGTGGTAACGAATCATGGAAGCTGGTCTTTCCCGTGCTATTATCATGATAGTCAATAAGTCTCATGAGATCTGATGAGTTTATAGGGGTTTCTGCTCTTGCTTCTCTCTCATTTTCTCCTGGCACTACCATGTAAGAAGCGCCTTTCACCTCCCGCCATGATTCTGAGGCCTCCCCAGCCATGTGGAGCTATAGGTCCCATTAAACCTCTTTTTCTTCCCAGTCTCAGGTATGTTTTTATCAGCAGTGTGAAAACGGACTAATACATGCCTCTTTGGATCACTGTGAGGATTCAGCAAAACATTATCCTAAAAAGAAAAAAAAATAAGTTAAAAGTCTTGCTTAAATATGACAAGCTTATAAAAATTAACAGAAGCGTTATATTAGAATTTCTAAAGTCATTTCCATTGAAATCAAGAATAAGAAAAACATGCTGCTTTCCCCAGTGTTAGTCAACATTATTTAAAATGTTTAGCTAATTAAAGTGAAAAAAAGAAAACAACTGGTATGTATATCATACAAAAAAGGTAAAATTGAATATTTTCGCATATAATAGAGAACAGAGAAAATTTGATTTTAATAAGATAAATACTACTACCATTAAAATAATTTAATAAAATATCTTAAATCAAGATATACACAGTACATAAAAAATATTAGCCTTTCTCAATATGAGGAATAACTAGTCATGGATATAAATTTATTTTTTAAATAACACATAAAAGCATTATATATTACATAGGAATACATATAAAACCATTATCTATTATTTAGAAATGCAAAAATACATTTAAAAAATGTTTAAATGCCTGGGAATTATACACACTGGCTCCTAGACACTAGTCACATATCTAGAAAGGGGGAAGATGAAAGAATGTCATCACATTCTATAAATATGTCAAAATGTTAAAATCTAGTGAGTATGAGAGGAGGGTACATGTTGCCTGGAATATTTTGTATATTTCTCTGTATATTTGAAATATTTAATAATACAATTTTAAATTTGAAATATCTTCTTTAAAATCATGATAAGGCCAGGCCTGGTGGCTCATGCCTGCAAATCCAGCACTTCGAGAGGCCGAGATGGGTGGATAACTTTAGGTCAGAAGTTCGAGACCAGTTTGACCAATATGGTGAAACCTGTCTCTACTGAAACTACAAAAATTAGCCAGGCGTGGTGGCATGCACCTATAGTCCCAGCTTCGCTGAGGCAGGAGAATTGCTTGAACCTGGGAGGCGGAGGTTGCAGTGAGTCAGATTGTACCACTGCACTGCAGGCTGGGTGACAGAGCAAGATTCCATCTCAAAGAAAAAAAAAAATCGGCCGGGTGCGGTGGCTCACGCCTGTAATCTCAACACTTTGGGAGGCCAAGGCGGGCGGATCATGAGGTCAGGAGATTGAGACCATCCTGGCTAACATGCTGAAACCCTGTTTCTACTAAAAATACAAAAAAATTATCCAGGCATGGTGGGGGGCGCCTGTAATCCCAGCTACTCAGGAGGCTGAGGCAGGAGAATGCCCGTGAATCCGGGAGGCGTAGCTTGCAGTGAGCCAAGATCACACTATTGCACTCCAGCCTGGGTGACAGAGCAAAACTCTGTCACAAGAAAAAAAAAAAATCATGATTAAAAACAACAATAGGCCGGGTGCGGTGGCTCGCGCCTGTAATCCTAGCACTTTGGGAGGCCGAGGCAGGCGGATTGCCTGAGCTCAGGAGTTCGAAACCAGCCTGGGCAACATGGTGAAACACCATCTTTACTAAAATACAGAAAAAAGAAAAAAGAAAAAGAAAACAAAAACAAAAACAACAACAATAATGGCTAAGAATGTTTGTATATGAAGTCATTTTTAAAGACAGAAAACAAGATCTAAGCAAGTGGAGTGGCATGCTAGTACTCCAGAAAGGATAGTGTTAATATTAATTTTTAGAAAAATTAATGTATGTGATGCAATCCCCACTAGAATCACATTGAATTACGTCTTGGTCCATTTTGGCTACTGTAACAAAATACTATAGATTGGATAGCTAGTAAACAACATAAATTGACTTTTCCTAGTTTTGAAGGCTGGGACGTCCAAGATCAAGGCACAAGCAGGTCAGTATCTGGTGAGAGCCCATTTCATTGTTTATTTAGGGTGCCTTCTTGTTATGCCCTCAGTGGGGGAAGGGACAAGCAAGTTCCCTTGGGCCTCTTTTATAAAGGGACTAATCCTGTTTATGGGAGCTCTGCCCTCACGACCTAGCGACCTCCCAAAAGCTCTACCTTTTAATACTGTCACCTTGGGGGTTAGGATTTCAACATAGGAATTTGGGGAGGGCACGAACATTCAAACCATAGCAAGTCATTTTACAAAAGTACATGAAATGAACGTAAAGTTCAAATGAAAAAATAAATGAATAGGCAAGAAAACTATGAAAATAAAAAATAGAAACAGGGAGAATTGCCCTACCAAATTATTAACCTACATTATAAAGTCACTATAATCAAAACAACATTAAAAGATGAATAAAAATGTTTCTGTGGATCAGAAATTGATCCCAAAATCAATGTAAATATATATAAGACCATAAAATATAGGCAGGGTACTATTTCAATTCAGTGGGAAAAGGTTAATTTTTTAAATATAAACTGGCCATCAATCTAGAAGAAAACACAACTAAATCCACTGTCTCATGCCATTCACAAAAATAAGGTTCTGATGGTGTAGACATTTAAATATAAGGAATAAAGAATGTGAACAAACAATGCACAGCAGAGAAACATGTGTTTTATAACACTATGAAAATACACTCAATGTCATTAGAACTCAGGAATAAGCAAACTGAATAATCTGTGGTTTTATCAGTAACTTGGAATATGATGTAGTTCTTAAAAATATTGATCCAGAGTCTCACTTGCTGAGACAGAGAGATGAAAAAATCACATTGCTTAAGTGTGATTTTTTTTTTTTTTTTTTTGAGGCGGAGTCTTGCTCTGTCGCCCAGGCTGGAGTGCAGTGGCACTATCTTGGCTCACTGCAAGCTCCGCCTCCCGGGTTCACGCCATTCTCCT